TCTACATTAAAGAAGGAAGCAGGGACGAGGTTACCGTAGTTGGCGTCTACCTATTTCTCCTACAGTATCCCAGAAGCAGAGATATCCAGCTAAACTTCATTCAAGAAGTGATCTGCATTAGGTATGGAGCTGTAAGTGAACGATCTAGCTTCACATAGGGAACGAAAGCCAGTAGCCCTAAGAGGCCTAGGAATCATGCCTTTCGCCACCTACACTGCCTGACAGTATAGTTTCGGATGCTGAAGCGAGTTCGAATATCCCCAGAAAATGCAGCTCTCGATAACTATGAAGTAAAATCTTCCGAAGGTTTTTTTGTGATGCAAAAAATCTTGATGAAAAAATCTCTAACATTACCAAAACCGTCAATCAGATGATCCATTCGCCTGGGCAGTATACTGCCTACATCCATTTTTCCAATTGGCCGCAAATTTTCGAAGAGCCCAACAAAACTGAACACAGTTGAATCGGAACAGGAAACAGCGATAAGCTGGTAATCCCGCTTAGTTTTGGCAATGAGCGGGCTGCAGCTACTCCCGTTGTTCCATGGCCAAAGTACAATCGGGACATACCAGTTTATGATAACCAGGTAATCTTTAGTCTGTCGGAACGGAGATTGGGTGCGATTTTGGATTGATTGGTAGTAGAATGAAGGAATTAGTAATATCTACTGAACGATGCCATCATTTCCAGGCGATCAGCCGTTCACAGATTGCCTCCTACAGTAGACTTTTGATCCACATTTCTATAGTTCATCTTCAGTTGCTCTTTAAAAAGTTCCTGTTATAAGGGAGCAGTTACACGTTAGCCGTTAACAGACTGCTAGGCCGTGGAGCGATCTTCGCCAGTGTAGGATCCCTGTAACAGGAGAACATGAATGCCATGGTTTTCGAGCTCGCTCTTTCTCCTCCTCATCAAAGCATCAGAAGATAGCATTATGCAAATACATAGATATCCTGTGGCTTCTCATAGCCATGCATTAGCGACAGAATCTGATGGTGGCCTGCAGTATTCAGATCAAGAGGCATTGAAGGGCAGCAAACCAAGTCAAGGGTGCATTTGTTTCACTCGATACACTTTCTGCACTCATCAGTAGAGAACGGATTTCGTTCCAATACTTCCTTATCTGCTCAAAAATTATTGAAGAAATAAAAAAACGGAAAAATCTAGCTACAGTAGAACAAACTCACAGCGCCCTACCTGTGTCGACTACATATCGATCACCCCAAAAGAGATTTGAGAACAGATTGTGGAAACTCGGTCCTTCTCAATTTTCAGATACACAAGGTTTGATTTTACTTCCAAAAAATTTAACTGAAAAATCAACACACTAAGAAATACAAGATCTGATGTTACGAATGTTTTGAAAGACCTGAGTCAAACAACCCAATTATTTTGAACAATAAATAAACAACAGTTAATTAAATATGTCTAGAAAATTCGGAGTCCTCACTCATCTTTCCACATTTCTATTCTACTTCGGTTCTTATTCTGAGGGAACTGGCTTTCGTAGTAAGTGCTATTGCTTTGCGAAACGAATTTCTCGTTGGAGGGAGTTTCTGAAAAAAATTGAATATTACAAGACGAAACTAATTTGATTAAAGCGCGAGATTTCGACGAGTGGCTAAATCAAAAAAAAATGACGAGGAGGTAGGATTAAAAAGAATTTTGATGAAGAATTAAATTAAAGAAAATTATTGCGATAGTTGTGATTGCTAAATCTAAGAAAATAAATCGAAAAAATCTAAATCTATCTGAATCTAATTCTCGACTGGGACTAATTTAGATTGAGAAAGATGGAAAATGGTGAGATAAGATCAAGAAGATATAAACATAAACAAACACCCAAAACACCAGGTACTGGAGTTCTGGGTTAGAGCAATCAAATGTACTTATTCCGAACCTCCCAAGGTGGCACGATTGAACGGGGAGATCAAAAGGATTGATCAACTCAACTCTCAAAAACTTCCTGCACCGAAGTGTAGTAACGTGAATTGCTCTTCATATTGGATTAGTTTAACATGTAGGAAACCGACCAAAAGAATGTCTGGAAGGGTTGCTTTTCTACTCCACGTAAAGATTGTTTCTCTTTCATGCCTACCGAAATCAGCATTTCACTATGCTATCTATGTACTGCCCCACCGAGACCTACCAAATACCACTTCGTACTCGATTGCGTATAGTGATGCACCTGCAATCGCTTCCTTCAATTGCCTTTGCGACTGTGAAGAGTAAAAGAAGACGCGGCGCGCTCTTCACGAGTTGACAAGCCGTAAGACGCTATTAAGGCCGCATGCGCATAAGGCAAACATGATTCTGCGTGGAACGATGGATCTATCGTTTCGACTCCGAGCAGTTTTAGTAGTTGTTTTTTCAGGAGTTTATCAGAGAAATTTTCAATTTTATATCATAACCGCTGGTAGTGAGCCACCACACCCATCACGTTTGCCCAATATTGATGCCTACCTACACTTATAGTTACTTATAACTTATAACTTATATACGTAACTTACAATAGCCTCACTCGCGCTACGGAACCTTTAGCGGCTTCTCTTGAACTTCGCCGCGGAAGTTTGACGTAAGTGCCATGATTGGGACCTCTCCAGGATCGTATACTATACCACAGAAGAGAACTTAGCAGAAAACTTTCTACTCTTCTCACAAAGTATAGGTTGAAAGGAAGCTCACATTAGAGTTGGCAGTATAACACTGTCAAATATGGACCGACAACACTTGCATCAATATACATATGGGAACGAGAAGAGGGTAGTTTTGACCAGGTGCGCCCCGGTGGTCCGGAGTGCAGGCTTCAAGCCTGTAGGCGGTCAGAAACCACAGCGGTTCGATTTCACTTTCCTGGTGTAGTGAATTTCTTTTTGAGAAGAGTCAATATATGGGTATATCCAAGAAGAGAGACTAAAGAATCTCTTATCACGATGGAAATGAAGCCGTACTGTTTCGATGAACTACCAGCCCTGCTTTCCATGATCTAACTGCAGAAGTTTTCAGAAGTTATCAGTTTTCTCCCAGTTCAGATTCAAAGCAGCTCCTATGACCGCTTGTTTCTTCCCATTGATGATATTTGAAAAATCGCTACTGAGCTTCTTCCACTCCAGCAGAATTACTGTACACAGTAAAGTACTGAGTTGGAGTTCAACTGGAGCGTAAGCGACATATAGATAAACGTAGAAACACCATGGCATTACCATTACTTTTCCATTATCTGACATTCTCAACTTTTTTCCGACATTCCGAAAATTTTGGCTACTTGACTACCTGGTTTCTTCGCAAGACCTGCTACATCTTTCCCACTAAACCCTTAGTATCAGGACTGCTACAGTAATCGTTACCCCATGACTTTCTTCAGGTATCATACAAGCAAATATGGAACGAAAGCCCTGACTTGTACATGGGCTGGCCACCGCACGCTATTGCATCGGGCACGTATTGCAATTAAAAGTCATTACAATTCTGAGCGGAAGCCGAGTGCCGGGCGCATCCCGCAAACGAGATTGACTGACCACAAATGCCTTCTACTTTCAATTTCCAATCTTTATTTCGATCTTTCAGCTTAGTCAAGTGTTTTCTAGAATTTTCGTGCTCATGAACTTGATTGGCAGTTAAACAATCAATATTGTTAAATATTAAAATTTGTTGTACATAAACAACAAAAATTGCAGAAATCAAATAAATCTGTAGTGGTACAAGAATGTTGAGGCAGTACTACCGCTGGTGTAGGCGATTACTGGCATCGGGCTGATGTTACTAGTACGAATTGTGTTCAGATCTGCATCACAACAGAATCTGAAAAGCAGCAAGAATGTACGATTGTAAAGGATGACCTAAATGAAAAGCAAAGCAGCTCTGAATACATAACACGGTTGATCTTAAAGAATTTCCATTCCAGTACGCCGTTACATGATTTCACCATTCAGGGAAAATGCCCCTTCCACAGATGTTATCATAGAGAGGCCCGAGATTAGGGGCTCTTAGGGAAAAGCACGAGAAGGTCTCCATAACTACCGCAGCTGAGAAAACTTTAGTTCTAAGTGAAGAAGCCCTTATTTAGCAGCTTTAATGGTTCTATAGATGGAACTGCTTCATAAAAAGACTACGCTCTTGTAGGCACGTAACAGATCAGGCTCCATGGTCCATGCACCCTGCAGTTACCAAACTGTTTCTTCATAACAACACGTACTGCTTCGTGAGTTCCAATCCCACCGCTCCTCTGCTGAAACCCTCTGGAACCCACTGAAAATTGAGTCAGGAACTGAGCTTTCACCCCTTCATATCGGTTCATAGCGGTATGCATCCAGAATCGGTCATGGCGTCTCTAGAAATAATGCTCGCTCAGTAGTGAAAAGTGTTCGCATATGAAATTTCTATGGAAACTTGTGGAACATCCAAAATAAGGCTCTGATTTTTGTGAATTTCTTTTTTGCAGACGCTTTTCGAGTTCAGTAGTAACCACTTTCACGCCTTTTGTAAATACTGCCTCCCGTTCGACCCAAAAATCTCTGCAACAGCCAAATCCACTTGATTTTTGAGACTAGAGGGATGGTAATTTTTATTAGGTAGGGGTAATGAGTAGGAATCAAACGTCCAAAAGTTTTGACCAAAATTGAATCTTTTATACTACATGTCATGCTGTGCTGACTGTCAGGCCGAGACCTTTTTTACAAATTCGTCGCATTTCGATTCCAAAAAAAGAAACTATGCACCAAATTTCTGAAAATATTTTATGAATTATAGGAAAGGTAATTTGGAATATCCACTAAAGTCTTATAGAGCGAAAATTACCGCCTGTTTGTTATGGCCTTACTGGCCATGAGTTTCGGTTCGATCGCACTCACTGTACAGCCATTACGACACTGTACATTCGTCAGTTTCATCACCCGAATTTGAATTTTCTTGCCGGCTGGAGCCTAAAAATGGCAAATAAATACACAATAGGATTAGCAAAAATAATAAATAATAGGAACTAAAACTGAGGTGGATTAATGCAGTAGTTCCCAAAAAGAATAAATTACCGTAATCCAGTCGTTGCACATGGCATAAGGCTCACTTATGGGTGTTGTGGTATTTCTGACAACGGTAATATTCCTACCCTTCCAAGTACTAGCGGCCACCAGCGCTGCTCCGCATCCCGGCTTCTGAAAAAGCAGTTTCAATCGAGTTTGATTTTGTTTTTCCAAAAAAAGAAACGAGAAAAATTGAGCAGAAATCAGGGTTAGTGATATGAAATGGATGATGGCCAAGGGCAACAGGATCAGTTCAGAAGTTCAGAGTGGTGATTCCCTTTAAAGACATCTCTATTCTTACAAAAAACTGAATTTGGAAACAAACGGAACTGCCGTATCTCCTGAAAAGGCCAAAACAGTTAGTAAAACGCATCGTTTTATGTTCTAAGCAGCTAAAAAGAGGTATTGTACCCACCCGTTGTCCACAAAGACCTCCACCGTAACCGAGTGGACAGAGGCATACTTTGCAATTCTTCGGATTTGGTGCTCCTCCATTCAAACATTTGGCCGTTTTTGGCAGACCGTTACACGGAACTAAAAGGAACAGAAAAATGGCATAACTTGTTTTAGTTACTTAAACCATCAGAGTGTTTCAAATCACTCAAGGACACCGCTAGCATTTGAAAAATTTCCAATATCCACTATCGATAAAGGTGGCCGCATATGTTATGAGTGTACTGGAGCGTGGCTAGTAACTTCAACAAAACTTCACAGGAGCTTTCAGATGATCGTGGTAAATATGAGCGGATAATTTCCTTAGATTTCCTTAGATAACTTCTACAAGACCTAGTATTGGGCATTAATTCCAATCAATATTTTCGAGAAAATATTCAGACTCACCGTTACATTTGTAATGGATATTTATCATTCTGATATCGAAAAAGGAGACAATTCGCGATCCCATAGTACGGCCAAATCCGGCTGTGAGAGGTACCATAGAGTTTCCATTTGTGGAGAATCTGAGCACTTCTCGAGTAACATCTTCGCACAGACATTGTCCAAGAAAAAATAGAAAGTCAGAGGTAAATAAATCAATCTGATAGTTGAATAACGAACGAATTGCTAGAATATTGCATGACACTGCCGTATTCGAAAGGTGTAAGATTCAGTGAATTGGCATCTTTGACAAAGTTGTGCTGCGAGCTCGGCTGGAACATCATGGAATTGAAGGGAGTACAAGTCAAGTGGCATGGAGTTTTTCGAGGTTAATGAAAGACATTACCGAAAGAGATCAGATAGACTTACATTCACGTATGTCAAATTGACTTTGAGGAATTTGTCCCTATCACTTCGCATGTGCATGTGCTGTACACCCAGAGCATGCATGAACTCGTGCACCACAGTGGCTGCCTTCAAAAATTTCATTTCACTGCAGCTATTCAATGATAATGGACAGAAATTAAATCTTTCTGGTATCTGCTTACAACCATGCAGTCATTATTGTGCAAACTCGTCCAAACACAGAAGCGCATAGCCTGATGCTCTACAGACAAAGGGCGGGGTTGGCTGGCTTGCAACGCAGGTTACCCAGATCAGTGAGAGAAAACTGGACCGTAGGACAGCTACCTCTTCCCACATGTCGGCGCCATACCGACCCCACCTACTGCTTGTCACGGGGAATTCTTTGCTACTATTACAAGCTGACTACCTTCTCACAAGCTCAATGAGGGAAGCGTGGGAAGAAGTGAACACAGTGATT